TGACTAATAGTTTTCTTAGGTAAGTTTAAAGTAGTTAAGTGGCTTGTCCCGACGACGGATCTCTTTTGGCGGGGTTCTTGAGGGACTAAGTCGAGAAAAAAAAAGAGGAAATATGGAGACTCTTCCTGATGACGAATCCTTTAGACAATTTTCTTGAGGGAAGTTAGTCTAGAGAAAATACCAAAAAGATTTTTTATTTTATTTTTAGGTAGTGTAGTAACTCCCCCTTGGTTTTTCTTTGGGCCACGGTTCTTTTCCAAGGGTTTAGCTTGAACCGGGTATAGGAAGTTTTGTTCATTTTGTTTTCTTTTTAGTTTTTAGATTAGGATTCATGGGCTACGAGCTAAAATCAAAAGAGAACCCATAGCGTTGATATACCTGAACACAATAGACACTAGAGTGTAACACTTAGTCTTAATTGTTGAATCTTACTAAAGTGCCTTAATTTGTATGTTTGTCACTGACTTGAATGCTCAGAATAGAACGTCTCGATAAGCCAATCTGGAATGAGTCATATGCCATGTGTTTGTGAGTTTTGCTGTATTCCATGATTCACATTTGATGCCTAGAACTTGCCCTGCGTGTTTGCAAAGCGAAATAGTAGTTTTATTCAGTTGTAGAAGTGATATAGGCATTTCTTTGTTGAGCCAGACACATAAAGTAAACCCACCTGAATGTAATACATCTTAGTCAACCCCGTTGAGCCTATAAGCCTGTTTCTTTGACAACCACATTGCGAACCTTACCCAATTGTTTGAATAGCCTGCTGTTTGAACCATTTTACCTCCCATGAGCACTTGAATGGTATTGAGAGTATGCAAAGGCAAAAGTGTGGGGTGGTGGTTTGGTTTTTGAGTGGAACCATTGAAATCGAGAAAAGGTGTAGAATTGTGAAGCATAAAAGAAGAAGCACCACGGAAAAAAAAAGTTGTAAATAAGAATAGTGGTTGATAAGTGGTGTTTTGTTATAATTGCACCTAATGGATGTGGTTGTTGTAAACGAAAAAAAAATAATAATAATTAGTGGAATGTGATAATTGGTGGAATGTTTGGTTGACATAAGTATAGTTTTGAATGTTAATGTAATTGTATTAAAAAGTTCTTAGGGAGGCTAGTCACTATATCCAAATATATCCTACCCGTCCCTTAGCCTACATTACAACCAAGCGAAGTCCTATTGATCTTAGACTGAGTGGGCTCAATTAGTAGAGTAGTACACTACGGGCAAGCCTATGGTGCATCTTTGTGACATGTGAATGTTCTTTTTGGAGAGTGAGTGAATTTTGTCTATCTAAGTTCCTAATTGTTCTAAATATTATTATATGTGGAACTACTCTCTTGTGTGAATGTGAGGGCATGTGATTCATGAAGGAAAGGCAAGTCTTGACTTCTGTGTAGAGTAGCTTGAGAAAGTATGAATATTGCACGGCACGTGAGAGTCGACTTTTGAGGCTGAGATTGTTCACTACTAGGCGTAACTTATGTGATTTGTTCTTGGTGTGATGCGTAGGGAATAATGCTTAGTGAAGGG